TCACAAACTGTAAATGTAATGACAGGAATGTAACGATATATATCACAAGACAGTTAGAGGTCCAGTGTGCAGGATATATTGGCATCTAGCAGTGTAATTGTAGATGGCAACTCTGTCTCTTCCCTCTCAGGAAACCATGGTGGCAATTGTTTGTTGGACGGCAACGGCAGGTGAAGAGTTTGAAACTGACAATAGACCATCCTGTTTAAAACTGGAGGTGTGGCAGCTTCATGCATTGTTTTGCACAGTTTAAACCCTACACTGTTTGTCAAGAAATTTCATTTAAACAAATATCATCCTCATGATAATGCTGGGAAAGTCCAGGGATCACCACAGTCAATAGATTCATCCTCTGGGAACCATGAATGTCTGAATGTTGCACCAGTCCATCAAAAAATATTGCTTGATGTCACTGTATAAATTAAAATAGTGACTGAATGAACGAGAAAAAGAAGAAAGTTATTATGATTCATTATTCAAGGACAATGAATGTCTGTACAAAATGTGCCAATCCATTCAATGGTTGTTGAGATATTTCAGTGTGGACCCACTGAACGACATTTCCATCCGTAGAGCCACATGAGCGATCCATTAATATTCTTTTGAGTTTGATTCACCCCTGCTTTATTTTGAGGATTGAAGCTTTGCTCAGCGCAGCCCTCATAATTCCTAAATCCTTATTACTCTGTTCAAATTATCTTTCAATATTTAGATGATTAAAACTGGGGCTCTCTTCTGTTTTAATAGACAGTCGCTGAATCTGGGCAGGAGGCCAAAAAGGCACAGCAAACAGTCAAGCTTAAATAGTCCATAAACTCTGGTTGTTATTTTAATAATGAAATATACATAACGCCTACATTATTCTTGCTTTTCACAGTCCCTATCCTAGATAATAATGCATATTTTGCACTCAAGTGAGTAAAGACAGAAAATTTAAATGAGATTAAAGACATGTGGAATCCCCTGCAGCCCTCTTATAATTGAAAATGACTAAGATAAGATCTGAGTACATAAGAAAGAGTCATGAAATTAAAAAGTCTGTCCTGGTCATATTGCCAGAACTTTGAAGAACAATGTTTCTATAAGAATCGCTCTACTTCACAAGTTATACTGCGAACTGAGGTCAAGCGATATTTAATGATACTGCTTCATGCAGATATGAGATATGACTGTACTAAAAGTAACCTCACACATACTGCATGTTGCCATCAATCTGCCATCAGCCTGCTGGAGCATCGCAGGGTTAACATGATTTTATTGGGCTCGGCTGAAATAATATAAGGCGTCACAGTGTAGTTTCCATTAGCGAGTGAGTTTTACGGTGAGGCTCAATGCACTATAATTAAGATTAACTGGAAAAGACATCCAGTTGCAGCTGTTGAGATAAAAAAAAAATGTTTTTCCATGCATTCAGAGAACCTAATTTGTCTTGTGAGATTGTCTACTAAAAAAAGCTTTCTGTGACCTTAGGGGCTGCACTCGACATTTTTATGTACATACACTTATATTTAATCAAACTGGTACACAAATAATGAACATATAAACAGACTCTTGTGACCCAAATATCTGTGCCTCATTTTCACATTGAAAATGATCTTCAGCCTCTTGTGCTTGTTATTTATTCCCTTTCATATTTGCATTATGAATGGGACTGTTTATTAACCCTTTTCTTGGCTTATGCGTCATGTTGAATCTGCTGTGCTGCCAGACTTTGTTCAAATCCTCTACTCTATTGCAAATTCTAGTGAAATTTCCAATGTTTCTAAAAAGAATAACTGATTAGCATTAAACTCCTATATCATTGTCGGACAATGAAAAGGATCTATTGGCAGAAAATTGAATGTAATATTAAAGGGATGTTGTCAACAGTGTAAAATGACCTGAAAAAGGGATTCCTTATGTTTTTGCCAGACACTGCATTACTGCATACAGTTTTGCGGCCACTGTAGTTTATCCTACATGTTTGGAAGGCAAGTTGGTTGCAATCAGCAATTTCAACACTACAAATCCTACATACTGGTGCTTTAAAATCGATAAACTCAGACAGTAAACTCAGACATATTGTTTTTATTCCATGCATTCTTCTGACTATGGTTGTGGCGAGAACACTTTTCGTCTAGCCAACAATTATGCAAAAGATTGCGTTATCTACTTCAGTTACTCCCATATTATCGCCCCCTACTGGTACTTATTTTAACTCAAACCATGATGTTTTCCTAAAACTAACCAAACTTCAGTCGTTTCACAACTTAAATTATGTAACAAACTTAAAGGTCCAGTGTGTAGGATTAAGTCGAATCTAGCAGCGTAGTTGCAATCCCTTTCCAAGTACCACAGAGAAACTAAGGCGGCTTCAAAAAATGTGAACAGTCCGATCTACAGCCAGTGTTTGTTTTGTTCACTCTGGGCTACTGTAGAATCATGGCGGTTCAACATGGTAGCCTTTATGGAAGCCGAGCCGTGGCAGCTCATTCTGAGGTAACAAGAAACACAACAATTCTTCTTTTCAGGAGATCATTAAGTAATTAAAACATACCTATATATTATGTTCAGTTTCTGCCAATAGATCCTCCCAAATGGACCTTTAACTTTCATCACATGCTTAATGTTTCTTAGCATGTTCTCAGGAACCGTGTTCTCATCAATAGACATACCTCATTATTCTTCCTTATCAAAACCTGGCGCCTACATTACCCACAATGCAAACATGTAGTCTTCAGACCCAACTAAAACTGACTTAAGTGACATCACTTTAGGCTTATCAGACTTCACACACCTCCCTTTGGAGCAAGCGTCATGACTGGCAAATTAATCCAATACGGAAGTAACAAAAACTGCAGTTCCTTGCACGGCCACTTGAGGGTGGCTACAGAAGTGACTCAATCTCCATATTGCCTTACATTCAAATGTTCAACTTTAGAGCTTGGTTCCAAAAAAGGTTTTGGTCTCTATGGTTAAATTCCACGTCCCCTGAACTGTACAGGGGGTACATTTTTATTTAACTCACCTGTTTAAATTATATGAAGGCTTAAAGTTATGCATAATTACAGGCATGGCCGCTTTGAGTGACAGGTGGGTGCGTGCACAGGCGCCTGTTTTCAGTAACAGGCTTCATTCAACCTGATCAGCTTACCCACGTCCAGTATCTGACATCCTTGGATTAGCCATGAATGCAACGTCAGGATGAAGATGGTGACAGCAAGTCACCACATGGGAAACAATTGTGCGTCATGGAGATACATCCATTTATCTTTGCAGCCACAAAAGACTTTATACAACTTCTGGAAAAATGTGTATAATGATGCAGAAACTCTGCCCATCTGATTTATTGTAATATTTCCAGTTGGTTTAAATGGTGCCGCCATGGAAACATGATGTCTTTGGTTGAAAGCAGCTGTAATGAAGAGTGGGAACTAGCAGAAACAGAAATGTTCTAAATTTAAGGAACTTAAGTGGAGATTTAATGATTACATTTCGGAGTTAAATGGCTAAATGCAGCTCTTGGTACTTTGTTTTTCAGACTGTTGTTAAAAGGGAAATGTTTCACTCATATTATTTTGAGACTTTCCACTTTGTATGTCACTGCATCCTCGTATGGGAGGATGTTACTGCAAATCCGAGGCAGCAATATTTTAAAGCCCAAACCTCGCCGAATAAAATCCTCTCTCTATTGTGACACGTATTGTCACTGCTGAGAGTATTAATGACCTGATATTTTATTGATCCCTGCAGGGAAATTCCCCTTCCTCTCTCGCCTTGCTGCAAAGGTCAGAGCACAAAGGCCACATACAGAACATCAAGCCCGAAGCTGGAAGAGAATCAGTCACTTGCTCAAAGGCTCTCCAGCAGGTCAGATGCAGGACAACACATGGAAATAAACCCAGGACCTCTGGCTGGAGAAATGTCTCACTACTAGCAACTCCACCACCCTGCTTCCGTTATCAGTGTTTTACACCCACTTGATATTCTGTGACACTTTAACTTGTAATTTATCTCCATCATTAAAAAAACATAAAAAATCTGCAAGAAAGAAACAAACAAAAAGAGAAATCCCCAGTGACATACAAAGTCTGAAAGATAAAATGATGCCGGTGCATATGAAGAGGTAATCCTGACAATAGATAAAGCTGCACAACATGTATGCACAAATTCACCACACCACAATGCAAACAGGTGGCAGCAAAATAATCTCTTGACTGAGCAACAATACACCTTTTACGGCTACAGAAATGTCACGACTTTCAGAGACCTATCAAAAATCTTCACATACCACATATCCAATTAACATCAAGATGGCTGGCATGAAAACCCCCTGTATTATTATGCAACGCACTGAACCCCTCTGTATATTCCCTTTCTTTTCCGCTTAACTAGGTCTGGGCAACAGTAGTTTATTTTCTGAGGTTTTTTTTTTTTTAATGCTGAGCAGAAAGAGTGTTTTTTGTCCTGTGTCTAGTAACCGATGGAATTTAGCTACCTTTAATAGCAAACTTTATTTTTTTTTTTTTTTTTCACTATGTGGGCACATCCTGAGTTTTAATAAACTGTTACTAAAAATGGTGCACCCCATATTTCGATAGGATCACACATTCAGTGCTGAAGCTTGTGATCGGTGGGTCACTAACAGCTCACTTGTCAAATTGATCATTGTATTCTTTTTTTTCTTTTTTTTTTTTTTTTTGCATTTGACCGCAGCGTCTACTCACACTTCGCTGAAACAGCTGCACGGACAACAACACACCCACACACACACATATACAGGACAGACAGACAAACATAAAGGGCAGACCGGGTTGGACAGGGCACCGGATCGGGATGTTTGACGTGCAGATGTCCGTTTTAAAGACCGTCGCGCATTCCGACAGAAAAACCTCCATCCGTGCAGCACGCGACTGTACGCGCCAACATCCAGCAGCACGAGACGCACGTTTCTACCTGTTAGCACGAGACTGTGCGTGTAGTGCGTGTAGTGTGTGTGTGTGTGTCCCCGCGCCACTTACCTTTTCCTCTCGTGTCCTTTGACATAGTGTCCTCTCCCCGTGTGTCTCTGCGGTCACTCAGTAAAAGCCGTCGCGTTGTTCTGCGCAGAGACGTTTTGTCTGATAGTTCACCAAACAGCGGCTCTTCCTCCTTTCCCTCTCCCGCCTGCTGCACCTTGACGCCCGCCAGACAGGGTGAAGCATGCACGGGTGGTGGGGTGGTGGTGGTGGGAGAGGGGGGGAGCTTGCCGTGTCCGTCTCCTCTCACCGTGGAGAGGAAAAAGAAAACAGGAGAATCTGCAGCTGAGCCTCTCGTTCACCTGTGTCAAGTCCCCTCAGAGCATCGACCCGCCCATGCCGCAGACATACTTTGGGTGTTTGTTGTATCTGTGCAGACTTGGCTCACATGTCATGCCCACCCAGCTCCCGTCCCCGTCTCCCCTCCGCCGCTAACATCAGCCAGAGTTTCCTCCAAACAAGCCCCGGTCTGCAGCTCGACTGCCTCCAGCGGTGCGCACACGTCCGCCGGTGCTGAAGGACGTCCGTCCTCTTTCCTACCACCGTTTATCTGACTTTGTGAATGTGCTCAAGAAGAAGTACACATGCAGGGAAAGAATTAGCTGCCCCAGTGACTGCAGAAGCTTTCATTTAAAAGCTATTTACCAGATATGTATTGTCCCTGGCACGACTCATTTAACTTTAATCAATTCCACTGTATCTGCCACCAGCAGAAGCTTTGCAGGAATATTACACAGTATTAAAGCCAAAACGGACAAGTCAGTGTGTGTGTGTGTGTGTGTGTGTCACACAAGTAGCCTGTGTTGTGTATTTTCCCTGCAGGGTGTGGTTGTTACTATATGAGAAGATGAAGAGCAGGAGGACAAGAACCACAGAATCACAAGTCACAGATATTACAGGAATTAGACAGAATATTAAATATGAAGCAGACAAAAGTCGTTGTGAGTGTCACACTAGAGATACTTTTTGTCCCCATGAGGAAATTTGACATGACCCTTCAGCATATGTGAGCACACAACACCAGCAGACAAAAATACACACCATGAGGCATCCGTGAGTTGTGTTTGTGCACTACATCCTCTGTAACCTCAGAAAGAAGCCGTCATAAGGTGTGTTTATCGCATGTCAAGAATAATAAAGAGATATGAAGAAGAAGGACAATAAATCACAGCAGAACCATAAGTCTGCACAGGAATATTGCATGAATTAAACATCATATTACATTTAAAGCAGATAAAAGTCATTGTAATGCCACACAAGTAGCCCACGGTGTATATTTTTCCCTATGGTTGTTATATATCTATATAAAAGAGGTTATAGAGTAGATGAGGTATAAGGATGAAGAGCTGGACACTGAATCACTGCAGCCTCATAGGATGAAGGGGTGAAAGCTACCACCTCTGTCAACCATCCATCACTGGAGCTGCAGGTGCCTCCTCGGTCACGTAGGGGCAGTCAGCCAGACAGGTGAGAAAATCTTTTGGGATTTGACAAGAAGTGCCTCAAAATAAAACCAGCCCTATGAAAATAAAGCCCTGTGCACAAGTCTGATTTTTTTTTATTCTCTCCTCTTGCTTTCTAGGGATAAAAGGGGAATGAAGCATATGAATCATGTTCCCTCAGCTTTAAATCCTTTAAATCCAGTTGGGAGATCTGGTCTAATCTGACAGATGCTTTACCTAATGGGTGCCTCTAATTCATTTTTTAAGCGTATCTTGACCTGCACTTCTGCAATACTTGACCTAAATTTCTGCAAAATAGGTTTTCTAACTGGCACGCATTACACTTTATTGTGCATGGTGGTCATGATGTAACCCCCGGCTCATCACTCTTCTCCTACGTGAGCACACATGGGGGTCACGCAGTCCCAGGAGGAGGGTCTGGCCACGGTGTCATTTGGCAGCCGCGTCCACACAAATGAATATTGATAGAGGAAAACGCCTGTGGCCGAACCATCGCCCTGGAATCTGAGAGCCCGGACACGCTACATTACCAAACTCTACTAGGAATACAGGCAGCCAATTTGTATTTATCATGAAAGCCAATGACAATACTCTTCTGGCCCAGGACATTGAACTGAGATGTCACTAAGAAAAACTGATAGGAAAAAGCCTTAAGGCCGGGAAGCCAGCAAGATAGATAGCACTGATTACACCAAGTGGCTGCACTGACTGGATCTGAGTGAGAAAAAAAGACTAATTAAATTAAGCAAATTTCTTTCGTAAGAAGAATCCTCTCCATGCCACTGAGGATGTAACTCAAATTCTGCAGCACTTCCACATCAGAAGACTGATTTTACCCCTAACACAAACTCAGTTTTTGTGATTTAGAGCGCTAAAAATCCAGGCAGCTCAAATTCATAGTAGACTTTTACATAACAAAGTACAGGCACACAGGAGCTCAGTCTTGTGGAAGGATGTTTATGGTGGTAGATTACCACTGTGAGAGTTCTGGAAAATGAAAGCAAGACCTGTCTCAGCAACATAAGGCTTTCTGGGAGCCATTAAAGAGTCACAAAATACAATACTTGGCAGTCAGCAAACCTGAATTTAGCACCTAAGGTGCAGATTTGTTGTTTGTTTCCTGTCAGAGAAAACGACCTTGTGGGTGGAAAAAGCACAATCAACAACTTAGTTGGTACCAAACAAAAAGCTCTTCTGCACTTTAAAAATGTGATAAATTATTCTAAAATACTCCTCAACCTATGTGTCACAGTGACTCTTACACAAGGTGAGACAGTAGACTGGCACTTCTCCACATTCAGGGATGTTTGAGTGATAACTGCTCAGCTGTGTCACACATACACAGTACATATTCCTTCTTCTACTGTTTAAGAAAACATTTCATATGGTTGCTGAGGCACTTTTCTCCTCACAATTGGATTGTAAAATGTTTATGTAGACGATGAGACGTAACGTCCTATCAGGATAGTGACCTCTGATGTCAGTATATCCTCGGCCTTGTCTAGCACATTGTATTTGGCACTGCCTTGCATATTTGCACTTACGACATATGAATCTTAGATATATTCATAACTCTTTATGTTGAATTTTTATTCTTTCTCTCACTTTATTTGACTCGAGTCTTCTTTTTTGTAAGATTTTCTTTTGGTGTTTTCTTTTTACTTTATTCGATAGTGATAGGGAGAGGCAGACATGAAACGGAGAGAGAGGAGTTTGACATGCAACAAAGGTCACCAGCTGGAATCGAACCGGTGTCAGTTGTGAACTATTTAGCTACCACAGCACCTCATCACTTCACTTCACTTCACTTCACTTAATTATTTATGTTTTATGCTCCTTCTTACTATATTTTGCACCTTTTAGTCCATAATATGTATTTATTTCACAACTGCAGTTACTGGATACTTTGCAGATCAAAATCTATCGTACTATTATTCTTAAACTTAATTTATTAAACATAATGAAAGATTATTTTATCAAATCTGCTTTGATTCCTTTTCTTTTAGATAGGATGATCAATGTCATCTCTGTCCTCATTGCAGGTATCAAACTGCAGTAAAGGAATAGCACATATACTAATCTTCACTATATTGTATCATTATATTTTAATAGAATTATTTTTCTATTTGGCTGTGCATATCAGATGCTATTGATTATGTATGAAGGATTTGCTAATCTTAAAGATTCTGATGCCTTGTTAGTATCTACCCAATTATATACACGCCCACTTTGACAACACCTGTGACAGTTATCCAGAGCTACTCTGATGCAGTTGATATCAGCCTTGATGTACGCCGATCAGCCATAACATTATGACCACCTGGGCACACTGGTGGTCATGTTAGGCAGCCCTCATACGCAACAAACTGCGATGCACTGTGTGTTCTGACACCTTTCTATCA